GTAACTTTGGGGATATCTGCTGTTGATATTTGAGTACATATGAATTTCATGCAGCAACTAGTGCAAAAGTCCGTGTGCACGCAAGGGCTGAATTAAGTCGAATCAAAACATTTCGTGGACGGCTTTCTGCTCTTTCTTCGCCGGTTTCACTGTTCCTGGAAGCAGCCTGCGTAGCAGCATTTTGTGAACGTCGTCATGCATGCATATCCATTGACTGTGACTCCAGAAGTTCTCTCTTTCTGGCACGTTCTGTAGATCCTGCCGTTGAATAGTTTAAACTTCACCATTTTTTCGGGCATTTTGAGAACGCCAAATGTTAAAAATAAAATATTAATATTGGTGCACCAACTCAATGCTGCAAACTCACGTGAAGCATTGTCTTAAACCGGAGACGGGCCCGGTAACGCGACAAAGTTTGACATATAATCATTGCCAGCAGTTAGGATAGTATTCCGTTGTCGACAATGCCTCATACTATCATTGTTGGTTGTGAGTACTTCGTCCAGGAAGGCATTCAGTACGATGCCATTCTTATCGCAGAAATACTCCTTATGATGTAAAAATGGTTGAACTTTTTCAGCTCTCAACACAATAATTAGCGCCAACAGGTTTCGAACGACACATGCAGTAGTTTAAAACTGACACACAAAACGAATTTTGAACAATTAATAATGAGGTGGAGGGCGGGAGGACGGCTCCCGTCTGAAGAGAAGAACCATTTCCCATTTGTAACGATGAGTAACGGTGAGTTCCACCGCATAGCATTCTAAGGGGACACGACTTTAAAATCTCAAACAAACATGCTTTCGATGAACTTATAATTCATCGAAATAATTTATTAATAATTTAAATAATTTATCATTCATTTTGCGTTTCGTCCATAGGAAAACTCCAATAGCCTGTATGAAAATGTTCAGTAAGTTTCGCTTCTTAACGTTAAAGTGGGAACCCGTCGTTTTCATTTAAGAACGCCACAGTAGAAAAAGGGAAAGATTTTCGAGCTTGGCCTGGATGTGGATCGACTCGATGGGACAGATCTCAGCCGTGCATCGGGCATGGATATAGATTAACAATCTCGTGGTTCCCGGTCGGTTGCGAGAGAATGCGTCGTTTCAGACCGCGAGTTCTGAAGCTCAGAGGACAAAGCAAGCTTTGGACCGTCCGTTCTGCAATCAAGTCTTGCGTTCGGTATCGTGCTATACTTACTGGCCGAAAAGTGGCCTCATCACATGAAATGGGACGAATTTTTGGACTTTTGTCCCAGGAAATATCGCCTCGGGTCATATGCTTACGATTGGCTCGTGAAAATCCGTTCATCCGTCTAAGAGGAGTTTCGCCGGAATGACCCAAAAAAGAGACAGATTAACCTAATATGTATATGCCTATGGATGAGAGATGGCCGGGGCATCGATTTCACACAACAAATCCGTAAGAAAGAGGTATTTCCGGCGGATAGGCAAGTTTTCATGAGATTCAGATTTCCCCATACACATGTCTTGCACGGTTTCCCATGCCAAAGACACGCTTCGCCACCCTGTTTGCTTGCACAGAATGCCCTTCATTCTCAACCGCTACATCCGAAACTGCGTTTCTGCGCAGATCTGCGAGGGTCCCTTTGTCCCCCCCCTCCCCCCTCCCTTGGGGCAAACACGTCATCAGGGCCCTGGAGTTCTCAAGATTAGTGGCCTAAGCGGGATGCGGACCGACCATATCAGCACAACACGATCCTTGGCTCGGAGCAGCAAAGCTCGGTCGACGATCGCGTTCCGGGTCGGGTAAGGACCACGATTCCGATCCTGTTTCAACTCGGAAAATTGAACTCGTGCAGGCCTCTGACGCGAAAAAAAGACAGAAACCCATAGAAAACACGTTCACAGCGTACTTTTTAGACTTTTTACCCAATAAGTATCGCCTACAGGTTCTAAACTTTCGATTGACACCTCACACACTAAAATCCGTCCAATCGTCTAGGAGGAGTTTACCGGAATGACTGAATGACAGACAGGTTAGCCTCTTGTGTATATGGATTAGGAAACAAATGCCTCTGTCAAATTGCTTCCCATCTAAATTCGTAAAAACCACTACAATCACTTACCTCTGGCAGTACATGTTGGGATATCACAGTATTCCCATTCGATGTCAGGGTCGGACACGAAGCACCAGGGTCTTTCCCTCCCGGATGGATTCCGGCAGTAGTTGTGGTGAGACCAGGAGTCCCGATTAAGGAAGTGGCCCTCGTACACGAGATCGATGGTTGGCGTTCCGGAGGGGTCAGAGGAAGAGAAGTCCACCAGTTCTTCGTCATAAATAAAGGATATCGAAAAGTCATCCGGTGTTCCGTAGGGATAGTCTCTCCAGTTGAGGCAAGTCTGACCCGATTTGGTCTCATTCATTTTTCCCACGTATTCCTTGCCCTTTTCCGTCAGAAGACACTCTGGATATACGTGCACTTTCTCACCTGCCAATAATCAAATTCAGCTTGAGAGCGAATGAGGATTGGAACGACTGCAGAAGGAAGAGTGAGGGGAAAATTGGAAAAATTAACCTTTTAAGCTCTATTTCGCACCATATTTCAATTGTCAACTGTTTGCGGATCCTACCTAGGCGAATACGCTATAGGCAAATATCAATCACGATGCTCATCTTCGGAGGATGCAGAATGATGGAAATCACAAGAGGAAACTACAGGGATGGGTTTCCCATGCCAAACCCTTATGAACGCAAACAGCGACGAATCGCCCTGAGGAATAACTAAGGAATCTAATGACTAAGGAATCGCCCTGCAAATAAGCAGAAAACTTTAAATCCCTCAATTCGCGGCAACAAGAGGAAGGCACCGCTCTTACCGACGCCACGATCCTCTGACTAGTCGCGTGCCTCCTTTCATTTCCTTGCCCATCTTGTAGATGGGCAGATGAGGGCTAAACTCAGTTTTCCATGGAAGTTGTCCCCTTGCTTGTAGACTTTCCTGAAACTTATTTCACATAGGCACACCCCCACACTTTGAGGAAAATTTAATGTAAGAATACCCTGTTCTTATCTCGAAGCGTTTGCTAAACACTCTTTTGTCGCTCTGGCCGAGCCAGCGGCCAGGATCGTGCACGCTATTTGTTTACGCGGAGTTCCTCAGTCGCGAAGCCAGCGAGGAAATCTAGTTTAAGTATATGAGGAATGTCCTCACATTGCACTGCACCCTCCCGGAAAGAAATGCACCACGAATCCGGCTTCAAAGGGGCGCATTTCGCCGTGTGGAGAACGACTCCATCCGAGAATCCTTTTGGATGTTCGCAACGGAACGTGACGATCCCTCCTTGTGGTGCTGGGTATTCTCCGCTCCAGCCCACATAGGACACCTTCGCATTCTCGATCATCGGATACTCTCTCAGACACAACCCTGTATTTCAGAATATTGGGGTCACGGTCGCGTTGTCAAATCCGTCGAGATGAAATTACCTTACTTTGGACTCACTCTGGACGTAGGACCCGTATCCATTGGCCTCCACGAGCCTGGTCATCCCGTTGAGGATCAACTGGCACGAACGATCGGTTTCCCGATAGTTGAAGGCGTAGCAGGGAATCGGTTCCTGGAGCACACGATTGATGGTGCACGTTCCGAGGGACAGTTCCTGAGATTCTGACGTCACATTCTCGTATCTCTGCCCAGGATGCACAAATAAATATGGAATCAATTCGACGGATGTGACATCTCGTGATAAGAGTAAGAACCCAAGGAATATGAGTTTTTCTTCCCGGAATCTGCGTGGTTCCATTCTCTTGCCTGGATCCTTTGGAATGACCGGGATGACTCGGGTTCGAGCGAGCCGGTTGACTGTGGAACATTTAGATGAACTGCATCGACGTCAACGCCGACCTTGGTGGCCAAAGTAACATTGATTTTCATTTCTTTCATGAAGACTGTTCTGGAGGAAATTCAAGGGAAGATGATTCATGTGTTTCCCACCTAATCAATAAAGTTTGAATGCTACATGCTGCCTAGAAACGGCCCTGGCTTCGCCTCGCATGTGCCAGCCTTCTGAGTAGGATAGCAACAATATCTGGCACATTTTAACCTACTACCCGTTGAAACCTGCTATTCCTATCGAGGCATGAAAAACCAGGATTGAAAATTCCCTCATCATCACATTAATGTTCATCTCTATACCAGTACACGGTAAGGATTGTTGCCAGCACAAGAAAGAGAGATATCAGTCCAATGTGCTTCTTTTTTTCGCTTTTTTCCTTCCTTTTTTTCTTTTTTTCTTATTTTTTCTTCTTTTACTTTTAACCCACATTGCACGGCAGATGCATTCTCTGCATATTAAACCCCTCTTCGCTGAGTAAAAATTGCCCCTTGTCCTGGTATCGCTATGGTCGCTATCAAGTCGCCATATCGTTAAAAAAAAAAAGAAACGTTTCACTCATTAACAGACTAAAACTTCGGGTGTCGATATGCATTTACGTAAAAAGAAGAGAGAGAGAGAAATGCGAAATTTTCCATGGTGAACCCAAACGGGCTCTGAATCGTCTATTATACCCATATCCACCCATGCCCCGAGACGGGTCTTTCACCCAGCTTGTCTTTTAATTCCTTAATTTTAACGAGAAATTCTAACTTTAACGAGAAATCATTCCTGAGTTTCGTCCTTCTTCCAATTTAGAGCAAATGTTTTCATTGATGAAAGAAGGATGAAAGAAGGTAAGCTAAAGATTTTCCTTTTAAAGTGAAATTTATTTCACTTGAAGTAGCATATATCTTGCCGACACTAAGTATTTTCTGGCCACGATAAAAGCCGGTTTCTCTTGTCTCGCCCGCTGCAATAAATCCCAGTTTGGCCCTCGAGCAAGGGCAACGTTCATGCACGGAAATATGCCTGAAATGGAATACCTGAAACGAAATGCCTGAAATAGAATGTCTGAAATGGATCGTTGCGGACCGGTTCCCTGCAAGGGAGTTGAGAGACTCCTTCTGAGATGAGGAGAAATACAAATCGAAGGGGAAACCGGAAACTCGATAAGATAAGGTGAAGACCGCCACGACTAGTGCTTTGTGAAGACCACGATATCTTCGTCTAAGCCAGGGTGGACGCCCTTATCTCATGTTGTGATTATTTCCTGCCAGTGCCTTCGCAGCCCAGCACGTTCGAACTGGCGCATTTGAGAATAGCCAGAGAAGAACCGCCGATTCGAGAAGGTGAGTCAGATTAGCGAAATTGCCGATCCAGGCTGGGTCAAAGCCATTGAGTACTGGTGGCACTGAGGCCCAATAAGCGACACGCACGAGGATTGCACGGATTGCAACAGGCAAAAGACGGGAAATGGATTTTCAGGAATTGTGGTTCTTGTTTAGCGATATGGAGTTTCAAGTACTTATCAAGTTCTGTTAAAGCGGAAAGTGTTTCAAATTTTTTTTTAGGTTCATCAACTTTTAACAACGGAATTTTTTTTCGAAAAAATTTTTCATGCGAAGATAAAGCTGCCCAGGGAAAAGCAACTCAGAAAATTCACTTCTACTGGTGCATTTCAGCGGTACGGCTCCTCAAAGTTTCATCGCCGTTGAAGGACGAGACTTATCTCGCTGGGTGAGATTGTTAGAGAATCTTCCATATAAGGGAAAGCATGTTTTCCGTTTGTTATTGTGACGCCATAAGGGATGATTTGCAAAACGAAAGCGAAGAAATGTATGACATATCATCACCTCTTTATACTCAATGGCATCAAATGTTTACTTGCATTCAAGAGCAGGGAAATGAATATATGAGAGGCGAATCTGACTCAGACCGAACTTTTCCGCCAATTCACGATTTGAGTCGGGAGTGACAGAGTGCTACAACTTTGTCATGATCATTTTAAGACCGTCACGGAATAAGGATGTCATCGCGTATCATCTGTTCAGTAGGTCCCTGCACGAAGGCCAAAATGAAAGATAATTCCACGGGGAGATGTCGGTATGCATTTGTTTGCCATGCACTCGTTGACGTGAGAAAATTTGCGCTTGTCCTTGCCATGGTCCTTCGACAATATGCAGGTTCATCGTGGAACTCGGGACTACGCTTCAATATCATAATAATGAATCCAAAGTGGTGATCGAGTCTGCTTGTGAATCGCTTTAATACCAATTTTTCCGGCCTTTAAGTCATTGCATGCGATAAATACTGTTTAACACAAAAGTGTTTTGGCATCCTACTTGACGATGCGCTTCATGGCCTTCAGAACAGTTTTTCAAGGATATCATCTTCGGCAAGTTATGCGTTTTTCTTTGACCAAGAATGACCATGCCATCATAAATACCTTCCAATTTCTACAGTGCATTCTTTCTAAAGTGAAGTCAGCGTCGTGACTTAAAATAATTTTCCCGCTCCTCTCATTGTTCAGGGTTGAGGGATGAGAATCGGAAGAAAGTATGGAGGCGCACGATGCAATCCACGCTGACGCAGTCGAGGATGGTGACAAAATCTGTTCGCACTGGTATATTTGAAGCAAGCATCTAAATTGGAGAACATTATTTACATTTTTCGGCACACGTCTCTGCTTCTCTTGCTGACAGCACGAGACCCATTCCATCGAGGTCCCTTGTACTCCACGAACTACATTGTAGGCGAAGTCTCGCGAAATGTTCCCTCTGCGGCGATGTGATCCCTGTGTCTCAGATGGAGCAACATCTCAGTGAAGATCATGCACTAGTCCAATGCCCTTACTGCCACAACGAGTTCCAGAAGATCACGTTGGAAAAGCATCAGGTTTGGATCTCATATACCTCACCAACGAAGAAACTCCAGCTATCCGTCTGGACGTCTCATGTTGTTCCCATAGGAAGAATGCCCCGAACAACCCTGTTCGTGCGAGTATTGCGACCTGATCGTCCCTCTATCTGGTCTGAATGATCATTGGAGTGCTTGCGGGTCGAGGACGGATGCTTGCCCCGACTGTGGGAAGTACATCCAGTTTCAGGACTGGAAATTTCATATTGAATCGGGACACGCCTCGGTTGCGCCTACTGGTCAGTTCTGCTGCAAGTCAGCAAGTCAATTATCAGGCTTAAATTCTCAACTGCTTCAATATTTTCTTGAGGGCGCCTGCAATTGGGAGAAATTGAAAGATATCTATTTTTTATTCCAGAGAGGCAAGCAAGAAGGGAGGTGGATGAGCCATCGATTTCAAATACTCGATTTGGTTAGTATTTTCACCCGTGCCTCATGGTTTTTTTTTAATTTTCAGAGAATACTCTGTTTCATTAATTTCATTCAGATACTGAACCTTTCCGAAATGACGAAATTCCATGCAACAAATGCGGCCTGTTCCTTCCAGAAGAACTGATCGCCTTCCATCAGGTATCATTTTTGGATCAGGAAGTGACTTCAAATCGCTTCGAAGTGACGCACGATATTCTGCTCTTCGTTACAGGCTGCCTGCAGACAGACTGATATGACGACAGAGCCTTCTCAGAGGCCTTCATTGGTTGGGCGCGCAATGGAGTTTTGGCGTTTGCCTCTGCTGGGAATGAGTCTGCTCCGTCCAGTCCTCTTCCCATCTGACATGTGCGGAAAAATAAGGAGCAACAGTTTACCCCAGTCGTCCCGATGTTCTTACTAAAAGCTATTTAAATTGATTGGGGAAAACCCATTAGTTTCGAATGAGTTTCTCATCCGTCGATTTTGCCAGTTTTTATGCTCACATGATCCGTTGCCTTATGACAACGGAAAAGGAATGAGAACTCATGTTGCAACGACGTTTTTCTATTTGCTTCATTTCCTCTGATCTGATGTCGTTTCAATCCATTCCAGATCAGCTGTGAACGATTCCGAAGTTTCCTCAAAAGAGGATCCCACACTACAATGGCCTCTCGAAAGCGCTGAATTTTTCCCGTCAGCCACTAGAAAAGCCGACTCACCTATTCAAGGTCTCCATTTTGTCATTGAAGCAAATGCACGAGAGAATTTTGATACTGAATGATTTCTTCTGTTTCTTTTTTGCAGGGATGGAAGAGGTTTTGGGTGTAGCATGTCAATACTGCGGAGAGAAAGTCCCGGTGGAAAACCTTGACATCCACGAAGTGAGTCCACATTTTCACTCATTCCTGCCACGCACATCATCGAACAGATGACATTCTTCCCTCAGTACGAATGCGAGAGAGCAGGCGGAGAGGATGGAACCCACTGCCACTCGAAACGGTAATTTCGCGTTTCCAAGTGTATGACTCGTAAGAGCCTGGACCTCCTTTCCAAGTTTTCTGTTGAGATTCTTCATTCAGATTACTATGTCTCGAGATGCAATTTTTTTCCATATCATCCTCATTTCTCATGCTAGTGATGCAAGCCATGGACACCTGGACTCCTCGCCAAGCTTATGGATTGCACGGTTCTGGCGAAATGCGACAAGTTCCTGAGGTAAAAATTATCAAATCGAATTCGTTGGATTTTTTCGGGTCATGGAAATTGTGAATTTACTATTTCAGTGGAATGGTCTGGACGTAATGCATAAGGAAGATCCAGGTGGGTCATCGGAACATGGGATGAGTTCCTACCTCGGGTGCAGGTTTTGCAAGAAGAAGTACCCAAATGATTTCATGGAAGTCCATGAGGTAAAGCTTCATCGTATTTCTAAAATTCGGAACGTCTCTTGGTTTCTTTTTCATATATTGACCTCTTGATCATATTTCTCACCCTTCGGAGTTACATACAACACCATTCATGCAATCTTTCATGGGACTTTGTCCCGTCAGGCTTGTTGCTCAGGGCCCATAGAGGAAGTCGAGGACCGAGGCCGCCGTGAGTCCCAGTAACTCTTGGTATCCTTTGCGAATGTTGTCGTACGAAGATACCAAGATGGCAGGATTTCTTTCAGGATCTCCCACTGGGTCTCTTCCAACATCTCCGACTAGGTCCCTTCCAGGATCTCCTACTGGATCTCCTGCAAGATCACCTGCGAGATTTCCTGCAAGATGTCCTGCCAGAGGTAGCCCAGAAACCAAGAGTGACTTCGTTCAGTGCCAAGGTTGTTCGCAGTCGGTTTTGGTCTCGATGCTCATCCTACATCAGGTGATGCGACTGCGTATTCGTAGTTGCTCTTATTACTTGTCACCATACGCAATGTAGAAGGCATACACGTCTTGTTTTTTGACAGAGGTATTGCTCCGAGCGACCAAACCGTGATGGTGTTCCTCTTCCTGGCCAGCCGCCAATTCTAGGTGTGATGGGAGCTGACAGGCTCAAGGAAGTTGTGAGTTTGACGTCATCAGTTCTATTTACGTTTCCTTGTTCACTGTTAACTTATGGTCACTGTGGCATATTTATCTCATTTTGATTGCTAAAAGCAGATCATATAATTCGAAACGTTCATGGTTGTTAATTGCCTCGTGTTGCTCAATCTTGTTCACAAGCGTGATACGCATTCACAGAACCAATTTCCAAGAAGAAAACCCGAAAGATCCCAGGAAGACATGAGATTTCCCAGTCCATTCCATTACCAAGAACCCCAAGAAAGAGAAGACGCTACTCAACCCATCGACGATGACGAAGGTAGGCGTATTCCCCATTCCGACGATTTCCTAAGGAATCATTCTCCTAACGGAAAGTCTCTGTGGAATGCCAACGAAGACATGCAGAGCATAGCGAGAGGCTTGCACGCCACCAGCTTCGATGATGGACCGAACCGCTGGGAATACCACGGTGGAGCGAGGCCCAAACTCCGCGGGCCGAAGACAGAAACTCAGACTTTCTACTGGTACGACGACCCCTCTCTGTTTAAATATTGCGGAACTGAAAAGCAGCGTTAGTTAAGGGCAGCTCATGATCTTTATAATGAATAAAAATTCATTGTTGTATTAATGGGAGCACGAAAGGTGTGCTTATGTCAGTCGCTAAGCGTGTAACCGTTTCATGTTCACAGTTCATACTGCATCAAAATCACGAAAAAGCAGAGTGGAAATTGAAACCTTCGATCGAACACTGGAGTGAAAGTATCCGCCCCGAGGAGGAAAGTAGTTGTCTGACGACTTTTTCCTCTCGCGAGTTTCACAACTTTTAAATAAAAAATCACTGCTAGCAAACCTAGCGTGCATAATAATATCATGCATGATATATATTGCGTCTTTTTCATACATGGCAACTGCGTAGATATAAATTGGCAATGCGAACATAGATAGACGAAAAACTCTCTCCTTGAGGCAATGGAGCCTTAGAACATGCTAGCTCTTGCTAGCAGGCCCCCGCGCATGCGGAATGCAGACGGAGAGGCCGGCCTCCCTTCTTCTCGAACAGGGTGAGTCAAAAGTCACTGGACGACTTTCAACAGCTATAACTCAGCAAGAAAGGCATTCATTTGCATAAGGCTTTTTGCTCAAGAAAGAGCATGCATTACTCGACCAAACAACATAGAAATTAGCAGGAAATACCAATAAGAAAAGGGATGAGCCAGCACAAAACGAAAAGGAACATTTTTCAGCTTGAAGGCGACATTTAGGGTACAGAGGATTTGCGATTACTTTTGCTGCTCCAATTGGTTTTCTGAATTTCTAACTTATTCCATCTGTGAAGGAAATCTTCCCGAAGTGAAGTGTCGTTTTGCTCCAGAGACAGGTGGATAGGCCAGGTCGGGCCAGTCTAGTGGCCTCCCAGGTCGCCGGACCTGACTCCACTCCACTTCTGGCAGTGGGGTTTCATTTAAAGACCAGGTATGCGCTGAAAATTTGCGTACGAACATTGAACTGAAGCAACGCATCGCTAAGAAGATTGCCAGAGTTGCCTTTCGATGACGGCTCGCGTGATCGCGTGATTTCCAACAGTGCGTATATATTAATTATTGTACGCTCTTTCCTGTGCGAAAAAACCGTTTGCAAATTAATGACTTTCTTGCCGAGTTATAGTTGTTCAAAGTCGTTAAAGGGCTTTTGACTCACCCTGTATTGCTAGTGCTACGAGATACCCCTATGCATCCTCAATGAGCGGGAGGGGGCCACCAGGCTCTGGCCTCGTATGCGCGATTCTAGGCATGAGACTGGACTTCCCTCGTTTTGTGTCAACTGAAAATGAATGCAATGCAATGCTCATCAGATATCTATTTAAGTTACTTGCTCTCCTAATGGATGCTTTCAGTCGTATGGGGAAGGGTCTCCTGAGAATTTTTGAGGAGGCCGGCCCTCCCTTGCCGCCCTTGACGAGTCGCAACTAGGCAATAGCAAATCGGTTGTTCATATCACGTCACCGCAAATTATTCCTTGTTTTTCTATATTGCTCCTCATTCACCTGAGCTATTTATTACTGAATAGCCTTGTTTTTATCCTCTATTTATAACCATTTATGTGCGATGCATTCCTTCTTTTCAAAGACGGAGTGCCGAATGAAGCATATCCTGAGACCACCTTCGGCCAAAGTTCGCGAGCTGAAGTGGCATAGTTGAAAAACTGTTCGGTGAAAATGTTGTTCGTGCTTGGACGATACCCGGACGCAATTGCTATCTCTTGTGTTGCAATTGACGAGAAGGAAAGTGCGCTCGATAAGCCAGGTCACTCATGCTGTGAACCTTGAGGGGCTCATGCCATCAGCACTTCTTTCGCATTCCATCGTCGATATGTGTGATGAACCGCATCTTCGGCCATTCATGGAAAACTGGCCAGGAAGCCTATTCCATTTACTCCTGCACCAGATTCTCTTGAAAGTGTGATCAAGTCTTGCCAGTTGTCTGACATGTCTGGGTGAGAACACGATGCGGTCCCCTTGCGCGAAGACGGAGTTCTGTCGGTTGAGTGTCGGTGCTTTGGCTATCGTCTCGAGGAGCGATCAACACGCGAGAGCATGCGTCTAGCTGGCAGTCAGCAGGTTTTCATGGAATGGGAGCAAGTTTTCTCACCGGCGATGTCTCCCTGCCAGACGGTGGTCATCGAGTCCAAATCTGTTAAAATCTGTCTTCAGCTGGCTTCGGCTCATGAGGATTCTCATGGGAAAATTTCCATCTTTGTTCGGCTTGAAGTGAATGGGGAAGGAGTACCTATTTCGTGTTTCCTCGAGTGTTTGATTTAATTCTGATCGTATCATGAAGGAAATCGATGCTCAAGCTCTTTCTACGGTTCTTATTTTCCAGAAAATGTGATATTTATCCACATGAAATCATTCCATGTAGCCATCAATGCGTCCACTTAACTTCGGACTTAGAACTAATGGTTAGCTCTATTTCGTGCATTTCCATTATATGACTTTGAATACGAGTGAAGCTGTTTCATTGGATGGACTTCATAAAGCCTGAAGGAGTTCGAAGGAGGGAAACGCCCCTCTGCAAGTACTCATTCTCTCAAATAATCTCAAAAAAATCAATACTAGGCGGTGAAACTGGAAGTGTTTGAAAGTGGATGGTGCTGAGAAATGATGAGGACACAGCGGCCGTGCAACATGAAAATGTATCTGCAATGCATGATGGGATCCTCCAAAATGTCCATGCCACCACCAAAGATATGATAGAATTCCTAAAGAGAAAGACCGTTTGCTGAGTCCCGTTCCCATCGGGGACTACTGACTTCATGAAGTGATTCAGAATTTTTTGGAAATCTGCTAAGGAAGTAATAAAGGTCCCTCCCCTTTACAAACCTTACACCCGCCAAGTGAATTTGGAACAAGGTCGACGTCCCATGTTGGACATCCGGTTAAACATCCATCTGGGTGGGGTAACATCCACCTTGCTCGAGAAACATTTGCGAATGACCTGGTGGATTTTCACCGGGTTTGACATCCATCTGCTTCCAAATACACATCCAATCCACCTGGTCTCTTCAGCCAGGTGAATGTTTTATAGGGGTCCTCCGCTTGCCCCCTCGTATCTTCCAGGCAAACCTGGCGTCTCAAAGTAAATGAAGGCGTTTTCCAATTTTCCTTCAGTTGTGTTCGCTGACTAAAGGGACTTCGGGATATCCATAAAAAAAAGGTAATTCGTGTTCAAATGTGCTACTTAGTCGTCTTCATTTGCAACGCATTTCTTTCTAGAGGAATAAATTTCGCATTGCTTTTTTTTAAAAGTCATATGTGAACATGCAACGTCACACATTCAACCGCATAATCACAATGGTCGTTGAAGTGTGTAGAGAATTTGTCTAAATTTGCCGTTTTCAATGAGAAATTAATGGGAAATTATCGAATGAGCAAAATGAGAGTTGAGATGAAGAAAACTTGAAGAATTGCTTATCCTTCTCACAATGCAGTATATTGCGTTAATTTCTTCCCCATCTGAAGGAGACATGTGGAACCTTTGCCGGATGATGATTTAGCTGAATCTCTTCCCAGAAATATCAGCAAAATGACTCTCACGCGGGATCATTTAAGATTTATGCGATATAACTCCCCTCAGAAACTCAAAATTCTGTGAGAGAAGTGAGGCAATGACGATGTCAATAATATTCTCTGGAACGCCAAGCGAACATTCTTTCATGAAAATTGGGGTTGACGAAACTAGACGTTTTAAAATTCCGTGGAACTTTTCCAAAATGACGTCCTCACTACCCCTAATAATTTTTTTCCGATGTTCAATGAGCCATTGCTTCAGTTTGCCCCTCGAACGAGAGCAATGTGGATGAAAGAAATGGGATCGCCTGAATTAGATCGTCGTGCCATTGTAGCTGTCGAAGGGATTGCTCACGTGAAACTTCATGAGACCGAGTAGGAAACCGGAATGCTCGATAAGATAACGCCAAGACCGTCATGCGATGGGATTTCTCAGCAAGAGCAGCAATATCGTCGTTCATGGCAGCCTGGACGACCTTATCTCGAGTACTGAGTCTTTCCTGCTCGCCTGCTCTCCTCGTTCAGTGGAAGTGTCGATGCGCCAGCGTCTCGCTCGTGCGTTGACGAGGCGTCGCTTGAGGGGCCTCCGCGTCACTTCGAACAGGTCAGTCTCGTCGGTCGCCATAGAATCCGCAGTTAAAAGCTGGATGAATAGTACCGTGGGCGAGCCGTATCGACATTGCTAAGAAGCGAAACGACCGATCGTGAATAGCCCTAGTGCAAAAATGCAGGATTCCATAATTGTTGTAGTCGGCTTCGAACTGTGAAGTTTAAAAGTACTCATCTCATCCTATGAATGTTAAAAACTTCCTAATTTCCGAAACACATAAATAGACCGGACGGGAAAACTTCTTTGAATGACGAATGAGAACTTGCGTCACCCTGTCAGTGTGCTTTATGGAATTTCATGACGAAAATAAACACTTTTAAAGTATTTTTCACCGATCTCAAATGACGTTACTAACAGACTTCATGAGGCAAGACCAGCAGAAAGAAAGTGATGGAAAGGAAATTCTGATAGCTTTAAAGGAAGCAAATGACTCCTGCTGTAAATTTTCTACCATTTCGATGAAGTCTGGAATGAATTCCCTGCACATTAATTCATACATGGATTCGCAATCGACGGTCCGGTCCTGTTTCACTTCTTCCTGCTGGGTAATTGAATGTGATGATCCTCATTTCAAATACATTCTAGTGGCTTAGGAAACAGTTTCAGAGGAGTGTTTTCATTCGGCCAATTTACGTCCATATTTGCTGGGAAAAAAGTTCGGAAATATTCTTAAATATTTTTCATTTCTCGCCTCAGCAATTCTATTGAAGTGACCCTTGCGTCACGAGAGTGCACTCACTTTTACATGATCCCAATTTTCAGTACCGATAGATGAACATTGAAGACAAGATGTCTGGAGAAGATCCTGATGCTACCCATGCCGACGCAGGCGAAGGTGGCGACGAAATCTGTTCCCACTGGTATGTTTGAAGCAAGCATCTAGATTGGAGAACATGTTTTCCGCCTTTCGGCCCATGTAACAGAATCTTTTGCTGTTAGCGCGAGACCCATTCCATCGAAGTCCCTCGAACTCCACGAACTGCATTGCAGGCGAAGTCTCGCGAAATGTTCCCTCTGCGGCGATGTGATCCCTGTGTCTCAGATGGCGCAACATCTCAGTGAAGGTCATGCACTAGTCCATTGCCCTTACTGCCACAACGAGTTCCAGAAGATCACGTTGGAAAAGCATCAGGTCTGGATCTCATATACCTCATCCAACGAAGAAACTCCAGCTATCCGTCTGGACGTCTCATGATGTTCCCATAGGAAGAATGCCCCGAACAGCCCTGTTCGTGCGAGTATTGCGACCTGATCGTCCCTCTATCTGGTCTGAATGATCATTGGAGTGCTTGCGGGTCGAGGACGGATGCTTGCCTCGACTGTGGGAAGTACGTCCAGCTTCAGAACTGGAATTTTCACGTACAATCTGGACATGCATCGACTGCACCATCTGGTCAGTTCCTTGGCCTGTCGAGGACTAACCTAGAACTCTCTCAACTAATCATTATTCTCCAGGTGCCTGTCTCAATTCGGTCGAATTTAAAATGATTAGAATAAATAAAAGTTCAGAGAAGGAAACAGAAAGAGAGACGAAGGACCCTTTCTGTGAAATTCCTTATGGATCATACTTTCCCTCATATAAGATTATTCATCCGTCCTTAGAGATATCCTAACCCTCGCCGAATTTATTTTGCAAACTATGAGTCATTCCAAGCTCCCAAAACCCCATGAGATAGTTGTAGGCAACTCATTCCATACGATTGATCATTTCTCACCATGTACTTTTTCTGGACCAGGGAGGGACTCCTTCGCATTGGGTCCACCCACGCCCTTCGGTTATTCACCGCGGCCTGGCTCTGGGCAGACTCCTCCCCCGCCTATCCCTCCTCCAAGGCCCTCCTTGGCTGGACGTGCTGCAGAGTCTTGGGGTCTCTCTCATCAAGGAGGAGATCGGCAGAATCCTGTTCTCGCATCTGACATGTACGGAGGAGGAAGCACCCTCTTTCCTTATTTATTAATAGTTTCTTTCTTCTCCCAAAGGCTGTTGAGGCGTGGGGACATATTTTACAATAGCCGTGAAATTCTGAGATTCCTCCTCATTTCGTTCTCGTGGTGATAACGCACCCGTTTAATTTCAGATCGACAGAGAATGCTGTCGGAGCATCAATTGAGGATGCCTTGCAGCCGGAGCACGCCGACGGTTCTCAGCTTCTCCCATCTGCCACTGGATTCGCCAACTCGGCGGTTCTAGGCAAGCCTGTCGTGCTTCGAGTTTTTCATTTTCTTCCTCGCATTCAGATCCTCGAGTCTCGGAGCATGACACGCCCCCCCATTTTTCTTCAGAGTCGTATGAAACCCCGAACTTCCTCGTCGCTTGCCGATACTGTGACGCGGAAGTGCCGGTGAAAAATCTGGATAGCCACGAAGTGAGTTCGCTTCTCCTCGATCTTCCGCGAGTCACGCGATGCCTTTCACATGGGAACGTCCCTGCTTCAGTACGAATGCGAGAGATCGGAGGAGGAGAGGATTCGTCGTGAGGCCAGACGAAAGGGTAAATTCTGCCTTTGCTGTAACTATGGGATGTTGGATTTCCTTTTTATTATCTGTGCCCACAATTCTTCCAACGGTGTCGGATGCTTGTATCATTTGTTTGTCATTTTGGACGATATTGCATTTTTTTTGGAGCGGGGCCGAAATTCCACCCACAGATTCAACCTTTCATTCATGTTTATCCCATCATCTTCATGAGAGTTCGCGAAATGAAATTTCACCTGATTCCGGAAAATATTTTACCGCTATGCAAAAGCGCACACGTGATCGTCTTTCCAGCGGACTCCCTGAGAACACACCGGCCACCATCAAAAGATGCATCGCTTCCCTGCCAGTTCTGCGACGAAAAGTGTCCGAGCGAAATGCTGGAGTCGCACGAGGTAAAAAAATAAAAAAATAAAAAAATAAATTGGAATTCCCCTATGCGCTGAGGCCAGTGAGACTTTATTGTTTCAGGCGCGCTGCTCGGAGAGAAATTCGAAAGGCGGAGACTGGCACCTCGGTGAGTCTCAGGCACTCGTAGAAATTCAATTTAAATTCATGTCGCATCGAGAAATGGATTCGTTTTTCAGGAACTGCCACCGGAACGGAGCCGAGCGATCAATTGGTGCAGTGTCAGCTTTGCTCGCTGTCATTTTCGCTTTACAATGCCCTATTGCACCAGGTTTCCCCCCAAAAGTTGTCATTTCGAACTCTTCAGCATCCGAACTCAGAAATGAAACAACTCCGGATTTTTTCTTCGGCAGAGGTATTGTCCCTTCCCTCCCGACGGAGACGATTTTTCCAGCCGGCCCACCGTTGAAAGCCCAAGGGCAACGGCGAGTTCCGAAGACGTGAGTTTTTCTGCCGGCGCTGCTTTCTTTGCCTTGCTCAAGTGGAATTAATGGTAAATTATGTTATTATAAATTATTGAAAACCGAAAAGGACGATTCAATGCGAAAAGGTTTTTTTTGCAATTAGTCAGCTCATATTCCTCTGCCCTACCCTAATATGCGTTCACAGGAAACTTCCGCGAGAGCCTTAGCCGAAATCCCCCAAAAGAACTCGAGCGACAATCTCAAAGATTTCCAGGAGAGAGACGAAAAATTGGGATGGAAGGCCGCCTTCGGCGACGGCGAGGGAAAGCGCATTTCCTCTCGCATTTCGACCAGCTTCGCCGCTGCCCGAGAAAGGGAATCGTCCCATGAGAAAAGAGGAATCGCCTCGTCCGGGGACGAACATGGTTCCGTGCGGCGTCCCGGCTCCGAGAGAAAGGGCTTGGACCCGGCCGATCGAGACGCGAATCGGCACCACGGGGGCGCGAGGCCGAAAGTCCGTCAGGGCTCCCCGCAGCCCCAACCTCTCCACAGGTCCGGAAATTCCGGAAAATTTGTCAGGTCTCTTCCGCTCCTTATTGCACCGGTCTGAGACTAAAATCATTCCACAGGGCCGACACGAAGCACGAAGAAACCGCGGCGGACATCGTCGTGATCCCCTGCGAGTTCTGCTCTCTCCCCATCCCGATGAACCACCTCTACTGGCACCAGGTGAGAGAGGCAAACGCAAAAAAATGAGTTCGTGGAGACCGGGGGATCGACTCCGCGACGGCGCCGTCTCATCACGAATCGCAGCGAATTAAAACGTCTCCTTTGCAAAAAGATTTACAGGCGGCAATTTTGGCCCAGAAATCCAATGAAATGGCATGTGAATGACATGGCATTGCCATATGTAATTGTGGTGTCATCTCCACTGAATTTCCCGGTCCCTTTTCATTTACAGGTGCCAATTTCACCTTTCCCGTAATTTCCATTTGCCAATTGCACGGCATCGCCGTTTGTATTTCATCTGTAAATTCCATGGCAACACCATGGCATTGCCATAAGCAATCCACCTGTCATTTGCATGCGTAAATTCCGTGGCAATCCCATGAAATAGCTAGAACATTTATGTATCAGTCATGAGATTCCAATGAGAACTCCAGCAAATATTGATATGTTCTAACATATACTAGTTTATCCATGGCATTAATCATGAACGTCCACGAGTTTCAATGACAAAATATGCACCATTTCGCGACGAAATGCCAAATCCCAGTTCGCCGAATCCCAATTAGCCTAATTACATATATGTAGAATGCTCAAAGTGCGTAAGAGCTAAAATGAAGAAAGACAAAATGTCGAAAGCTAAAAACGTCGATGAGACATTTTATATCCCTGTCTTAAACGATACGTAGTAATCTACTCTCCAAAAAAATATTCATAACACATCGTAATCTATGAGCTGCAAATTGCAAGTGGGGAAAGATCAAGGAAACAAATTACCATTCAGAAAATTCAGAGTCGCACATTGTGGGCGATGGCCCTCAAATAGGATGTTTGTCATCCTATTTGAGGTGTCAGATGTCTCTTGTTATGTCATATGTCTCACACACACTGCATGACCCTTCTTAAGGTTCAAGGAAGCCCTTGAATGGACGACCACCAAGAAAAAAGAATACTTTTTCAACTATCAGCAACACAATTTTTCACTTTCGACAACTAAAAATGAACATGAATGGGAATGCAACTGACCTAATGCATCCAGCTTGCTTCCATCAAGTTTTGTGCATCCAGCTATGGCACTGATGTAGCATCGGTTTGGTTCATCGGCACCAAAAATCTTTGCGAGGAGGGGTTCACAGCAGGACTTCCAATCTTGAGTCCAGGACCCTTGAGTCCGGGATGACTTACCTCCAAATTATGAATTCTATAGGTATACTACGGGGTATATAGGTCGGGATGCTCATTTTCGTCAGAGTGATGTTAATTCTAGACTGGTTGATTAATGCAAAATCAATTGCGTCGTGAAAGTGACAACAGCATTTCCTGTGTAATGACACGGATCCACAATGACCATTCGTAAGCACTCATCAGTAAAATTTCCATGGCGATTCCAGGTCACTCTGTCAATTCCATGTCCATTCCCGGTAATTTCCACCGTGGATTGTCAATTCCCTGTAAATGGCCCCCTCGATCGGGAATTGCCATATACAAGGTAAATTACATGTCAATCACTGGTAACTTTTTTGTAAGGGTCCCCATCCGTTCTGATGGTTATTTCCCCTACACCCTGCCTTTCCTTTGCAAAGCCGCTGATGAAAATTCACCTGCACCTTTTCCTCTTCATGTGGATGAAAGCAAGAAGACCTTCCACCGCTGGAATGGATGATATGCATATAACACGCCACAGTCAGACATTAAAGCCGTTCTGATTGCCCCATCTCATCACAATCTGATGACTTTTTATTTTTATTATTTATTCGCTTATTTATTTTCCTGTGCGAGTCGAGCTCCCGCAATAATTTTTGTTTCCTTGGCCTTCACACTATCTCGTTCACGCAATCATTCCAACGCATTACATTATTTTCCCCAAGATCGAGTGCGGAAAAAAGTATTTACAGGAAGATCTTAAGCTTGAAGAACCTCGGCGACCTTCCAGACCGCATTCCAACCCTCTGCCGTCGGCTGAAACGCGCACGGAGACCGCGGAACCCAAGTCGCATATGGCGAGCATTGAACCAGAGAACTTGGACTCAGAGCGGAGTACATGCTCCACAACGGAAGGTAGGTAGCATTCCTTAGTGTTTCCTTATTGAAAGCAACTGGGACAAGAGGGAAGGTTTTTTTTCATTTTTTACTTGTGGGTCTTTGATGGCAAAGTATAATGATAGCATTCATCGTATAATGTCGTCAATGCATTCATCCGGGAAACTGTCAAGATTGCACCACTACATGCAAAAATAAAACTTGACTGATTTTAAGCAATTTACCAATTCCTTTCCCTCCTCAAATTGAAAATTGGCAAAAATGTTACCGGTAAACTGTCGATTGGGCTTCAAGTACAAGCACAAAAGATGACCAAACGGTACGGCTCAGAGTCGGAGGAGATGGAAGAGAAGGACGTAAAGAATGTTGAGGATGAAGATAAGGAAGGAGAAAAAAAAGAGGAGAAAGATGAGGTAGAGGATGAAGAGAAGGACGAAGAGGAGAAGGAGCAAGAGAAGGAAAAAAAGAAGGAGGAAGAGAAGGAGGAAGAGAAGGAGGAAGGGAAGGAGAAGATCGAGGAGAAGGAAGAGGACAGGGAAAAGGAGAAGGTGGAGAAAAAGAAAAAGGAAGAGGTGAAAGAGGAAGGAGATGTGGAAGTCGACGAGGAGGAAGGGGAGGAAGCGGTCGAAGAAGAGGAGGAAGATGGGGAAGAGGAGGAAGTCGACGAGGAGGAAGGGGAGGAAGAGGTCGAAGAAGAAGAGGAAGAGGACGAAGACAAGGAGGAGAAGGTCGAGAAAGAGAAAAAGGAAGAGGAGGAAGTCGACGAGGAGGAAGGGAAGGAAGAAGTCGAGGAAGAGAACGAAGAGGAGGAGGAGAAGATCGAGAAAGAGAAAAAGGAAGAGGAGGAAGAGGAAGGAGATGAGACAGAGGATGAGACAGAGGATGAAGATGAGGAGGTCAAGGAGGACGATGGGGAGGAAGAGGACGAGAGAAAAAAAGAGAAGGTGGAGGAAGAGAAAAAAGAGGAAGTAGGTGAGGAGGAAGAGGTGGACAAGGAGGACGAGAAGGAAGAGAAGGAGACGGAGAAGGACGAGAAAGAGAAAAAGGAAGAGGAGGAAGTCGACGAGGAGGAAGGGGAGGAAGAAGTCGAGGAAGAGGAGGAGAGGACGAAGATGAGGAGGAGAAGATCGAGAAAGAGAAAAAGGAAGAGGAGGATGAGGAAGGAGATGAGACAAAGGAGGAAGATGAAGAAGCCGACGAGGACAAACTGGAGGAAGAGGATGAGGGGAAAAAGGAGAAGGTTGAGGAAGTGAAAGAAGAGGAAGTGGGCGAGGATGAAGAGGAGGAAGAGGTGGACGAGCAGGACGAGAAGGAAGAGAAGGAGGAGGAGAAGGTCGAGAAAGGGAAAAAGGAAGAGGAGGAGAAGGAGAATGGGGAGAAGGAGAACAAGGAGAAGGAGGAGGAGAAGGCAAATGAGAAGGACTCCAGGGTGAATGAGGAAGAGTGGGAGGAGAAGGATGATGAGAAAAAGAAGAAGGAGGTAGATGAAGAGGAGGAAGAGGGGGGAAAAGAGGGGTGGAAGAAGGAGGGGAAGGAGGAGGAAAAGAAAATACAGAAAGTGGAGGAGACTGAGAATGACGAAGAGGAGGAGGATGATCTATATGAGGACACGTGCGATGATCCTTTCCTCCTGCCATTCTTACAATTGTTGGAAGACCTGGATGCCATCTCCAGCGACGAAGAGATCATGGGACGCCTTCATCAGATCCTCTCCGAAGTCCCAGCAGACGCCAGCATCGACACCGATCCGTGCCGGTTTTGCAGCGTGTTGTTACCACTCGATGACTCGGAGATCCACCTTCATGAAACTGGCTGCGGACGCAAAGTTCTTCTCGGGCGGCAATCCGGTGATCTGTCGGTCGAATGTCGCTATTGCAATTTCTTCTATCCCCTCGAGGAACTCCCTCGGCACGAGACGAGTTGCCGAGCTGGAAATCGGCAAGTCTCCGTCGAAAGGGACGGCGTCTTCCCTCCTCCTCGGTCCATGCCCCCCGACTTCGATCGATCGATCTCGAGCCACGATTTGCTCCCGTCCGTCTTCAGCTGGCTTCGGCGACAGATCGCCGAGTCGAAGGAAATTTTCGCCCTTGGGGCTGGAGTTTCCCTGCAGTTCCTGCCTTGGTCCAAAATGCTTCCTGCTTTGGGAGTTCGGGAGGATTCCCACTGGAAATTGTCAAACCTTCTAGAGAAGTTCGTTTTTAGCATCTTCAAGCGATCGACCAACAAGCCGGAATGAATTCATTTCCCATTTTATCCATTTCCATAAATTACTGAATTTCCGTACTGAATTTTCCTCATATTCCATCGTATTAAACCTGATACGAAAATGCTACCAACTTTCTATACGTGCTAGATTGCTCGAATCACGCCTCAAGACCGTCTTCCATGCGAAAATCTGAAACTGGGAATATTCATGAAGGGGATATTAAGAAACGTTCTACTATCCAAGGCCAATAAAACGCCTTAACGAAGGAGTTTCGATGAAAATGAAACATGGCCCTTCACAAGCGCTAAAACGACACGAAGAAAGACACTTCACATTTCCCGCAAGGCCTACCGATGCAGAGGTTTTCAATGAGTTTCTTGAATCATTATATTACTTTATTGGACCAACCCTTGGTTGATATTATCCGACAGACCCTTTTCTTCGGCATGTCAATCGTGAGCAAATCCGTATTTCTTTCGGCCGCGAATATTTCGTTCCGGTTTCTGAAGATACGTTGAAAGCGTTCCTTTCGCCAATCCGCTCCAGATGACGAAATTCCATGAAATTGGCGAATCAAGACCGCGCCAAATCCCATCTCGGCAGAGATGACGCGATTTAAAAACGACGCCACAGCTGGTGGAGGACACTATCAAATGCAGTCTCTTTTTTTTTGGTCCGATCTTGTGAAATCTTGAATGAAATTCAAGACTGCCTTCTCGATGATCATCTTCTTGATTCTATCTGCACCTGGCTTCAGCGCAATGATGAGCCAGGAATACGCATGAGGGTAATTGTGAGAAGTTAGGCTAACCATTCTGACCGATTCTAACACGAATTATTCCAGTAATTCCCATGGAATAATGGATCGAACGACAGAATGGAATGATGGTTCGAATGAGATTCTTTCGCGAACTTGACCCTGATTCGGATCGATGCCTGCTCTCACTGTCGTTCGCATTTGCAATTCCGATGGACGTTGCGCATCGGAACCTCCTGAAAAACGGAACAGGATGAGGAAGGGGCTCGTGGCCGGGAAGCCGAGGGGGGCATTTACATCGTTCATTACATCCTAAATAAATTAGTCGAGCGACGGGGGGAATTGATGATCTCGATCGGCGCTTCCTGTCGAACGTGCAGTAATGCGAATGATTTGGAGGTATTCCTGGAAACGAACCGAGAACGGAGCAGCCAATCGCATGGAATCGTCCCCGTGGACGATCGGTCGGTCAGGAGTCGCTGGGGAGGTCGCCAGGTGATCTGCGGAGTGCAGATCGAGGCGGCCTCGAGGGAAGATGCGGTGCTTCCTGCCCTCCGTCGTCTGCGCCTTGGTGCTGTGGGCCTGGGGGAACGTGTCGGAGGTGGGAGGGAGCAAGGAGGAGGCCCGACTGAAGGAGGTTCTCTTCGGGGATTATCCGATGGTCCGACCCGTCGCGAACGTCCACGAGCCTCTCGTCGTCTCCTTCTTCTTGGGTCTCTTCAGAGTCTTCCAGCTGGTACGTCCGACCGAGGAATGCTCTGCCACCATCAGCGCTTTCCCTCTTTAAGGCCGATACCCCGACTATGGGAACATGGATTCAGGACTCCATCCGGGCTTCAGTAATCGAAGTGCCGATAAGCAACGTCCATCGTAACTGCTAATGCGAACGAGCGTGAGAGCAGGTAACGATCCGAATCAGGCTCAAGTTCGTGGAAGAACCTCCTTCGATCCATCGTTCGATTCCATCCTACAATTTCATCATATCTTTTGCCCGATGAGTTAGATCGTAAATATAATTTTAGGATATCGATATATTTTCCCGATGATGTCATTTTACTTTAACCCACCATTCCAGAAAAAACGTGGTCGAGTCGGATCCTATGCTGGAATTGAGAAAATCGCTCGGAATCCTGTACCCTCTTCGAGGTCCACAAATGGCCCTCATCCGACCGAATTCATGTAGTAGCGAGAAAGGGGAAGAGACGGGATCGTAGGGAATGGGTGTGACATCACCAAAGTAGTGCCATGTAACCTTTTAAATTCCGCTCACTTTAATTCCTCGAGAATAATTTCCAGACCACTACATGAACCTCTCTCCAAAAACCCCTTTTTAGATTTCCAGGGTGACCAGGAAGTGGAGGATGAGTTTAGTTTGCAGGGTGCCTCAAAGCCCCTTTCCTTTACGAGTACTACAAATTATGAATGAAACCCATACGGTACCGAAGAGAGACTTTGTGGCCACCGTGTGGATGCAGGAAGAAACCAGGACCGGCGGGAAGGTTCTAGACATGAGGAATGCTTTTCAGGAACGCTGCAGCATTCACGGCAGCCTCTCGCTGTGACCGCAGCTATGGCAGATGCCATACTGTGTCGCTCTTGACGCGCTCTGGAAAATAAAGGACCCGAATAACACGGAGATGCTTTAAAATGTGTTTGGAACGCGGTGATCTCACGAACAAATTTGACCGAACCTCGTGAAATCGATCCCCCACTTCCTGGTCAGTTCAGTTCTTGAAAGAGGAATTCGTCGTTCCCGGGAGGAGCAACGGATGATGTCCTTCCGCCTTTCAGGACGAGAGAGGCCAGACGCTGAACACCCTCGTCGAGGTGGTCGAGCGATGGAACGACACCCATCTGCGATGGAACCCCGACGATCATTCCGGGATCCGGCGGATCGTTATCCCCTACGACTCCGCCTGGGTTCCGGACATAATCCTCTACAACAGGTGAAGCAACTGCAGTGCCTCGTCCCGAGGAGCGAATTCTCATCATTTTCTATTTTCCTCGAAGTTTCTGACTGGCTAAAACAAAGACAACTATTATTATTCCTACCCTAGAAGTCGTTCCAACATATTAATTGTGTAATCTTTAGTCGGTTATCTCCCATTCATTTCTGATGGATGCACTTCCGCGCCCGTATCACGGAATAGCGCGTCGGAGGCTTACTCTCGGGGACTCCTCATCACGACCCTCGTCCTGGATCACACCGGGGAGGTGATGCTGGAGATCGCGGCCAACTTCCGTTCCTCCTGCAACGTGGACGCCAAGAGCTTCCCCTTCGACAGGCAGACGTGCACCATGCTCTTCATGTCCTGGACGCAGGAGTCCGACAAGGTCCATAGCGTCCAACGCTCCCTTCGCCACGGCAGGAGTTCCACTCGCTCCGATGCATTTTCATCGCCTCAGGTCCAGATGGTGCTGGAGACCGACCGCGACCTCGAGCTGGTGGCGTACATGGAGAGCGCAGAATTCGCGTTGGAATCGTACACGGCCGTCGCGAAGAACCACACCGACCCCTGCTGCATCCATCCCTTCTCGGCCGTGGAATATTCCATCACCATCACCAGGAGGGCCATGTTCTTCCTCGTCATCAACTACGTCCTCCCCATGGTCGTCATCGACGTCATCGGTCGGTCGACCGGTCGCTCCGAATGTAGTCTCGTATCTTAGCATGGAGGAGAAGGAATAGGATGGAGAGATGAGGCCAATTTCGCAGTTCCATTTCGAGACAGAAAAATATCGTATCGCATACTGACGATAGATGTATATAGAAGTATTTATTTAAAAAAAAAGATGCATCGTGGAAATCATTCGGCGGTTTTAAATGCATATTCTACAGTGAGCGAGGAACGGATGATGGTTTCTTCCAACTATTGTTTTCAGGTTCGTGCTTTCCGTTTAGCCCGTGCTAATATATTGCGCTGGATTTCATGAGGCATTCCGTTTTGTTTTGCATTCGGTATATGGGACTTACCAGGGTGCCTATTTAACCCTGGGAGAATGGCGTTAAAATTTTGCTAATGGCCAGCAAATTTCTTCTGCAAACTCCTTCAGTCTGGATCAGTGGCGGATACTTATTGAGGGATCTTATTGTTTCTAAATGAACGACGCAAAACTGATGAATCTCGTGCTGTCACGGTCCTATTCCGCAAAAAAGACTGATTTGATTGGAACTCATTCTTCAGGAAATTAACCTGGAATGGACAATCGATGCGTCATCACTACGACTACTAATTAAAAGAAATTCCATTATTACGATTTTGCAGGACTGTAATCCCGGTGAAACAATGGTACAATATGTCCCTAGTATGAATGGTCACTCCACACGCCTCTAATACATCTTATTAATCCTTTTCAGTAGAAATGCACAGAAGAATACCAAGGGGAGAGAAATTATTTAATCAAGAAAGGGTAAAATCTACAAATATCAGGAATCGGGTGAAACTCTACCGATGTTCGAGTCTCGTCCGAATTTGTAGGTATGATAAGGACGTATCTGTCTGAACTCTCTCTGGATCTTTGATGATCGCCAGCCCTGTTGGCGTTCCTGGTGCCATGCGAGAGCGGGGAGAAGGTGACGCTGGGGATCTCCACCATGCTCAACATGATCATCTTTCTCACGAGCATCCGCGACCTCCTCCCGCCCACCGGACAGATCCCTCTCATCGGTTCGCCTCCGACTTCCTTCTCATCTGTCGCAAATACATGAGCGCGAAATCGAGAGGGATGCTCTAGATGACGAGAGAAGGAATCGTCGTGGATAGGAACCCACCCGCTTAATTTCGATCCTTTCCCGGGTTCAGGATCATTGCCAGATGCTTAATGGTAAATTTGAATCGTGACCCAATCACGTTTAAGTGAACGGTCTCGAAATGGATCATTGGATGAAATAAAAAGCTGTGAAAACGAGGCAGGAGACCGCCAAAGTTGAGCGATCCCACATGTGAATAAAAGAAAGCTAAAAGAGTTCAATATGTTCTTTTAGACCACTTGAAGCAATAAAAACCAACAGTTTCAACGCTCAAACATTTAAATCATACCAAGGAAACATATATTTTGAAATTATGTCAACTTTTGACATTGGAATTACACCCACATTCGGAAAGCGCGAGAATCGCCTCGATTTAGCAAACATGAGGAAACATTCTCAAAAAAAGGGGAAATATCCATCCCCATATTCTCCCATAGGAAAGTTCTACTGCGTCTGCATCTGCTTGGTCGGGCTGGAAGTGGCTCTGAGCATCTTCACTCTTTACCTTCACCACATGGAGGGCATCCCCTTGCCCAAGTGGATGCAGGACTTGTGTCTCATACTGACCAAATTGCCCTTGATGAGGCAGCCGAAATTCATCCAGGTCTGAACACATTTTTTTTCCGTATAAATTCCAATCCATGTTGCCGTCTCGTTGGTCATGTATGTCTGGNAGCCCGTGCTAAAATTTTGCGCTGGATTTCATGAGGCATTCCGTTTTTTGCATTCGGCATGTGGGACCTAACAGGGTGCCTATTTAATCCTAGGAAAATGGCGTGAAAATTTTGCTAATGGCCAGCAAATTTCTTCTGCAAACTCTTTCAGCCTGGACCAGTGGCGGGTCCTTATTGAGGGTTCTTATTGTTTCTCGATGAACGACGCAAAACTGATGGACTACTGTCACGGTCCTATTCCGCAAAAAAATAGCTGATTTGATTGGAACTCATTCTTCGGGAAATTAACCTGGAATGGAGAATCAATGCGTCATCACTACAACTACTAATTAAAAGAAATTCCATGATTTTGCAGGACTGTAAACAACGGTATGAATGCCACTCCACACTCTTCTAATGCATCTTACTAATCCTTTTCAGTGGAAATGCACTGAAGAATGCCAAAGGGGAAGAAATTATTCAATCAAGAAAGGGTAAAAACTTTAAATATCACGAATCGGGTGAAACTCTACCGATGTTCGAGTCTCGTCCGAATTTGTAGGCATGATAAGGATTTATCTGTCTGAACTCGATCTGGATCGTTGATGATCGCTAGCCCTGTTGGCGTTTCTGGTGCCATGCGAGAGCGGGGAGAAGGTGACGCTGGGGATCTCCACCATGCTCAACATGATCATCTTCCTCACCAGCATCCGCGACCTCCTCCCGCCCACCGGACAGATCCCTCTCATCGGTTCGCCTCCGACTTCCTTCTCATCTGTCGCAAATACATGAGCGCAAAATCGAGAGGGATGCTCTAGATGATGAGAGAAGGAATCGTCGTGGATAGGAACCCACCCGATTAGTTTGAGTCCATTTCCCGGGTTCAGGATCATTGCCAGACGGTTAATGGTAAATTTGAATCGTGACCCATTCAAGTTTAAGTGAACGGTTTTGAAATGGGTCATTGGATGAAATAAAAAAATGTAAAATCGAATCAAAAAACGCCAAAGTTGAGCGATCTTACATGTGAATAAAAGAAAGCTAAAATAGTTCAATATGTTCTTTTAAACACCTTCCCTCTCATCGGTTCGCCTCCGATTTCCTTCTGATCTGTCGCAAATTCATGAGCGCGAAATCGAGAGGGATGCTCTAGATCAGTGGTCGGCAACCTTTTGGTATTGGAGGGCCGGATCGTCATAGTACTGTCAGGTCGCGGGCCGCAGAGCGGTAACTGAGAAGTGGTGCTGAGAGGTACATGAAACAGGGGGTTTAAGTGTTCTCAGAGGTTTTAAAATTAAGATTTTTGCCATTTGTTTATTTCAACTGTAAGATGTGTGCAATGCACACACTTTAATCATAGAATCAGATGCAATATTGCTGTGCGTAAAACATTATGCTACCACAATGTGTGATTCTCACATTTCTTAACCGTAATACAGGAAAAAAATTTTTTATTTGAGACCAACATCTCGGCATGTTGGTCTCTCAGTGCGAACTCTGTGCCTCTGCATAGAGGCACAATTACTCTATGCCTTTGCTAATAATTTAATGACATGATAACTAGTTCGAACTGGAGCCAGGATTTCCTGCATTCTCTTGAAAATATTCCACTGAGCAAACAAGGCCTTTTTCAGAGCCTCTGTCTTGCCAGTCCTGATCTGGCCTTTCAGAGAGTCATACTTGCCTTCATGATGTGCTTCGTAATGCCGCCTACTGCTATATTCCTTGAGCACCGACACGCTCTCCTTACAGACAAGACAAACTGCCTTCTCTCTGCGCTGCACAAACAGGCAATCGTGTGTCCGCTGGTTGCCGAGCATCCGACACTCGAAGCCAACTTTTCTCCTTTTATTATACTGATTTTGACAGTGACATGGTGGAATTGCAGGTTCACAATAAAGCAGAAATTGAAAACATCCATCAACACGCCAGCCTCTGAAAGCCAAGAAAAGTGCAGCATGACTAACACGTCCCGCCCTCTCATTCCATCAACATAAAACAAGGGATAGGCGATACGGAAGGCGCGCGTGTTGGCGCAACAAGACGACGGAATAGCGTTTCTCGAGGCTGAAGTCCGAACAAGTCCTCTGCCTTTGCAAACCCGCCACCTCACGCGCTGGCGACGATTCGTAATAGTTCAAGTATCAGACGATCGCAGGTCATCGGCAGGTAATAAGAGCACAGAACACAAACTATTTTCTCTCCTTTCCAACGATAAACGAGGCTGCTGCAAGGAAGAAATAAATTTGTCCAGGTTTCATTGACTCATTTGAGAAAAAATTATCGCCGCTCGACCGAGATAGTGGCGGGCCGGATGAAATCTCTTCGCGGGCCGCATCCGGCCGACCACTAGGTAGGTTGCCGACCACTGCTCTAGATGATGAAAGAAGGAATCGTCGTGGATAGGAACCCACCCGCTTAATTTCAATCCTTTCCCGGGTTCAGGATCATTGCCAGATGCTTGATGGTAAATTTGAATCGTGACCCAATCACGTTTAAGTGAACGGTCTCGAAATGGGTCATTGGATGAAATAAAAAGCTGTGAAAACGAGGCAGGAGACCGCCAAAGTTGAGCGATCCCACATGTGAATAAAAGAAAGCTAAAAGAGTTCAATATGTTCTTTTAGACCACTTGAAGTAATAAAAACAAACAGTTTCAAGGCTCAAACATTTAAATCATACCAAGGAAACATATATTTTGAAATTATGTCAACTTTTGACATTGGAATTACACCCGCTTAGAGGTCCGACCCACATTCGGAAAGCGCGAGAATCGCCTCGATTTAGCAAACATGAGGAAACATTCTCAAAAAAAGGGGAAATATCCATCCCCATATTCTCCCATAGGAAAGTTCTACTGCGTCTGCATCTGCTTGTACCCACATTCGGAAAGCGCGAGAATCGCCTCGATTTAGCAAACATGAGGAAACATTCTCAAAAAAAGGGGAAATATCCATCCCCATATTCTCCCATAGGAAAGTTCTACTGCGTCTGCATCTGCTTGGTCGGGCTGGAAGTGGCTCTGAGCATCTTCACTCTTTACCTTCACCACATGGAGGGCATCCCCTTGCCCAAGTGGATGCAGGACTTGTGTCTGATATTGACCAAATTGCCCTTGATGAGGCAGCCGAAATTCATCCAGGTCTGAACACATTTTTTTTTTCGTATAAATTCCAATCCATGTTGCCGTCTCGTTGGTCATTTATGTCTGGATGCTGGATGCCCCTAAAGATCGAAATTGGGAAGACAAATGAAAAAAGTCTAATTTTTCCCCAAAGGAGGGAGTCGACTTGAAAATTGCAATTGCTTATTTGAATATTTAAATATTTCTTCCTCTCCGGGAAGAAGAAATTGCATCTAAGGAGGCAGTGCCAGAAATGAAAGTTTCTCTTGTCGCTGACGGGGATAGGAAAGGCATTCACAAAGTTTTGAGATGAAACGAGAGCGAGACAGAAGGGTCTGGCCGTGAACCAGTTCGCTGAGCTTCATAAATGCTGTAAAAATGTGGTAAAAAATGTTGTAAAACCCTTTAAAACTCTTACAGTTCTTGAAACGAGATTTTAGCTCGTTCCTTTTCTGCTATTTCCAGTATATTGCAGCACTTTTAAATTGGAATATGCGAATAACCCATGATGGAAAAAAAAACCTCTCATGTCCCCCTAAAATTATCATACTGAAACAGGACGGCAGCGAAAAGAAGGAGAATGCAAAGGAGAATGCAAAGGAGAATGCAAAGAAAAAGGAAAAGGAGGACACGGACGGGGAGGTCTGGGCTCAGAGAGCCTCCTTTCCTCTCTTCTTCGCTGACGTGGCTCTCCACCGTCCTCGCGGGCCCTCGCACGAGGAAAGGCACCTAAACGGTAAGTTCCTGGCCGTGTGGCTTTTAAGCGCTGGCAATTTCGATTTATGATGGACTGAGAACGCTCCGTTTGCAACAAAAAAAAATTTAATGCGGGTCTCATTTCCACCACCGCGGTTCAAAACAGCTGATCGTGATTGAAGTCCGCATACCTCATGACCTCAGATGAGCCTCATGACGAGAGGTCAGAATGCCTCATCGCCTCATTATGACCCCCCCCCCCCCCCCCCCCCCCCCCCTGCATGCACTCAGAACCATGCATATAAGTATGCTATGGACGCCACCGGCCTTTCATGAGTCGTGCAAAAGTGGTTCAAGAAATCGCATGCGTCAATGTCGCAGATCTCTTCAAATAATCAAAAGTGTAAATATTCAGAAATACAAAGAGACATTTTAAGTGCATCTTGCGGTGGAGGTGTTTACATCTGCGCAGCAGAAAGCTCAAGTTGCAGCCAAAATCAGAAGAACGTTCCATTTCCTGCATGTTAATTCTACCAGTTGCTATTTGAAATCGGGAAAATAAAGTGAAAAAACTTTCATTTTCCCCACGTGAAAATCCAATCCCAATTTCAGTTTCGCCACCTTCAGACATGGCAGAGCGTTCGGGCAGGGTCCCCGCCCGAACGGAACGCGGGGAGGAGCGGGCATGGGGACGGGAATGGGAGCTGGAGACGGGGACGCGGATGGCACGAGGGCGAGCGAGCATCGGAGCGGACCTGCAGAACTGGAGGATGGCCTCGAAGGTCCTGGATCGATTCTTTCTCTACCTTTTCACTCTTCTCAACGTCGCCGTCTCCATCGGAATCATGCTGTATACCCCAAATTCGTAAATCGCTGTTCATTTCACCAAATGTCTCTCATATTTTCACTTACCTTCTTCAGATTTGCCCCCCTTTTCTTCCCCCGTGTTCCTTACGTCATTCTTCTCATTAGTAATGAGGAAAGTTTGCCAGATTTGATGTGTCACGGAAGCACATAATGTCTCTCATATTTTCACTTCCCTTCTTCAGATTTGCCCCCCTTTTCTTCCCCCGTGTTCCTTACGTCATTCTTCTCATTAGTAATGAGGAAAGTTTGCCAGATTTGATGTGTCACGGAAGCACACTTTTGTATGGCTGCTACTCCGTGTCGGCCATAGATCATTCGCAATTTCTATTCATAAAAACAAAAAAAAGCTTGTATAGATGACATTGCGGGTGAGTGGCCGACCATCGACGGCATCCGATCGCCGCTTCAGCTTGCATTTTTCGTTGCCGGCCTGAAGGAGGAATGCCCTTTCGGAGTTCGGAAAGACTGGGAAATCGTGCAGCGATTTTGAGTCAAGTTTCACCCTAGTCCTGCGTGTCGCCAGCACGAAGTCGTGTCACTCCATTTCACTAATAAATCTTCGTCTTCTGTCGAGAGCATCAAAAGTTTACCCCAGAATTATTTCCAAACATTTCACGATATTTTTGGCAAGCATTACTTCGATCCTTGGAGGTGTCCCGCCATTTTCGTGTGGAAAAGTGTCTCATCGCCGATCACAGCCAATCCAGTAGCGGAATCGTCTGCTACAGTCTCCGAGCGGTGCAATCGTTTCCTTTTCACAATGATCCACCCCTTCTATCGACGAGGGCACCTCAACTCTCGACGAGGGAACCTCAACTCTCGACGAATTCACCTTCAAGGATCCGCGGACTGACGAGAGAAAAGGTCCTTTCGGAAGTGACAAAGGTCAGACGAAGCGACGAAACGCGACAAACGTGGAGATGGTCCCCGAGCGATCCGAATCCATTCCGATGAATGGATTCGGAAAAGATTGCTCCGTGTTTCCTATTTTTTCTGGAGCGAAGTCGCTCACGCACGTACAGAAAAGGCAATAGGCTGAAAATGCAGCACGATGCAGACGAAAAGGATTAGCATCATCGGCTTTCGTTCATGGCAATTCAAGATGATAAATGCAATGGAATGAATGTTCGGTGACGATTCTCAAGATCCCAAACATCGCCATCACCGCACCAGCACCCACGAGGAATGAACAACTACGACGCGACACGTCGCATATCACGGAGAACACGAGAGGAATCGGAATGAACCCAGCAAAGAATAATGCCAACGATCATCGGGTTGCATTCGCTACGTTTCAACATGCAGCCCAAATGAGCCGATCTCCAGCAAGTGCGAAATGAAGCCTTGGAGTCCCATGAGGTTGAAAATGACGAATCTCGTCGGAGTTGGAAAGGGCACGCAATTTCCCATTTCGAGAAATCGATCAGTTACTTGAGATTTTCATCATTTTTTGAAGGAATTTCAACGGGATGAATGTGAATTGTTACACTTATCCTCGGACCGAGAAAGTATTTCGAGGCTCCATCCTCATTTGGGTTTTGGCCCTCTAATAAAACATATTGGTGCTGAATTGTTTTCTTGCAGAACGGGAACAGAAGGACGATCTAACGTTACTTGAGGCTCCGGGAATCGCACAAAGGACAAGATCCAAAGACCTCTCCCTAAAAACTTTCGATTGTCCGATGAGTAAATACAGCTTCATCCATGTGAAATTTCATGTTAACGTAGCGGCCCAGCCGACACGACACGCAGTGAGTGGCCTGGCTGGAGGGCTGTCCCAGGCACGAGGGAAGAGTTCCATGTGAGCCTCCCCATCTAGGTCGTGATAGGAGCAATGCCCCCTAGGTGTCACGCCTCACCTCCCACCCTTCGCCCCGATCGAGAGATCCTCTTTATCAACCCTCTAGATGTCTTTCGTTCTCAGACACCACCCTTTCCATTTCATTCTGACACCCACAGACTAGAGACCGAGCTATGTTTACATTTTAACCCAGTAATTGAGGTTCCATATGCCCAGAAACGAAGGCCAGTGCCCTAAGATGGCACGCTCCTAAGGAGTCAAGTTCTCTCCCTTTCTACCCTCCGAGGAAGGAGGAGATAGAGGATGCGTTACGTTATAGAGTCTGCAAGATGATGCTTCGAACTCATCCTAACGTTCCTAGCCTATGGTTTACGAGCGATAAGTCTTGTTCTCTCTCCCTCCCTTCCCAATCCTTCGGCATTAGCCATTCCAGATCTCCTGGTTCATCTCTATTACTGTGAGATCAGAAATTCCTGTGCCACTTGATTCCCCTCATTCCCTCTGCAGTATATATCCCCCATCGTATCCCTATCCCTCTCGTATCGCTGATTGATTGATTGTGTTCCAGCCTTGTGCCTTTTATCATTGAGTAGAGGGTATGGCTAGAGGCTCCACTCCGCTCGAATCCCATTCATTGACCGAGTCGCAATATATAGATGTCACTGTCGATCCTCATCACGACCCTCGTCCTGGATCACACCGGGCAGGTGATGCTGGAGATCGCGGCCAACTTCCGTTCCTCCTGCAACGTGGACGCCAAGAGCTTCGAGTTTTTAGTGGCTGCAATAGATCCGACGATCAATATTCCTGCCCTTGAAGTCGCTCCAGCTTATCAACTGTACGATCTTTCATCTGTTATCTCCCATCCATTCGTGATGGATGCACGGAACAGCGCGTCGGAGGCTTACTCTCGGGGACTACTCATCACGACCCTCGTCCTGGACCACACCGGGGAGGTGATGCTGGAGATCGCGGCCAACTTCCGTTCCTCCTGCAACGTGGACGCCAAGAGCTTCCCCTTCGACAGGCAGACGTGCACCATGCTCTTCATGTCCTGGACGCAGGAGTCCG